GAATGGGGATGGCAAAACCATGGGGAGCTTGTCCCAGCAAAGCTATGTTTGCCATCTCCACTGGTCCTGGTCCTTTCCCTAATGTTCTCCCTCGCTTTCTCCCTCCCATTTCCTCACTGCAGGCACTGGCCCATACCTGCTCTCCCTGGTCATGCTGGATGAGAAAGGTGATCTCTTTCTGCTCCTGTGCTTCCAGCTTCTTCACAAAGAAGAGCAGCTCCCACCACTCGGCACGGCTCAGGGCCTCTGCAGCCTTGGTCGGCGGCTGCCCCAGGTAAGGCAGGGAGTACAGACCTCCCAAGGGCTTGCACAAAAATGGTTGTGCAACTGCAGGAGAGCAGAGCAAGGAAGGGCACTGTCAGCTCTGCCAATTCCCCCATCCTCTGTTGTACACTCTACATTCCCCAAGGAAAGAGCTCATGTGGACTGTCTGGGTAGAAGAGGTCCCCAGCCTGCTGGGAGAAAGGGAGGGGAAGTGGGAGAGGGAGAACATGCTGGAAGGAGACTGATAGGCTGCTCACCTGCTCTCAGTCTGTGTTTTTGTGTCAGGGTGTTCACCTTCTCCTGGCCCTCAAGTTCCTTTTGCTCTGAAGGGCCAATCATCTCAACCATATGCCAGTGAACCCAGTATGTACAGCCCAGGGCCTGCCAATACACCTGAAGAGGAAAGCCCAACAGAGGCCCAGCTGAGGGAAGGCAAGCCCAACCCCACTGTCCCCATGGAAGGCTGCACAACAGCCTGTAGCCAACAGAGCAGACAGGCCCCTTGGCAGCCCCTGGTCCCCAGCAGAGGGTACCTGCACGGGCGGCATGCCGTCGTTGCTGCGGCGGAATTCACCCTCGTCACCTGCGCTGACCTGCTCGTAGTCCTCCAGCATGCGCACTCGCATGCCGCACGTGAGGTTCGCCTGCACGTACTCCACGTAGCTGCTGCGGCTTGGGAAGGCTGAGCGTGTCTTGAAGGTGATGGGCTCTTTTGGTGGGGAAATAGGGGCTGCTTCAGCAGCAGTGCTGGCTGGAGTCTTGTGCTGGAAGATGGAGCGGGTGGTGCGAGGCCGGAGCTCCTGTCGGGGTGGCAGCTCTGGCTTGTGGTTGTGGTTCCAGCCCATCACGTGCACCAGCTCCGAGATGAGGTTTGCCATGGCCATGCTGAACTCAAACTCCTGCTTCACACAGCTCCTCTCCTCAGGGAGCAGGCTGGGCACAGCACACTCCTGCTGCTCCTCTCCCTGCTCCACACCACTTCTCAGCTTGTCCAGGAGAGAAGTGACACACAGGTAGCGCTTCACCAGGACAAACAGCAGCTTCCCAGGGATCTGCGACAAGCACAGCTGTCAGACTCAGCCTGCAGAGCACCTCCAGCTCCCAGCTCTCTCCGAGCCACCAGCTCATCCACAGTCAGGATCCCAGGAGAGCTCTGGACCAGCTGGCAGCAGCAGAGACCTCTCAGCCCACCCTCGTCTCCCTGCTCACAGAAAGGCTTTCATGTGCCCCTCCTCCACCCTCAGCCTCATGCCAGGCCCAGATCCTGTGCCAGCTCTCCCAATACCCTGTCTTGCTCAGCTGCCCAACTCCAACTACTTTCTTGTCCCAAACAAGGACACCGCCCTGGCCCTCCACTCCCACCCCTCCTGGCCCCTAAAGCCCCACAGGCCCAGGGCTGGCAGGGCCTGCCACTACCTGTGGAAGGGGAATCCCCTCAAAGGACATGCACTGCTCTTCAGAGGATGTTATCTCAGCAAACAGCTCCAGTAAGGTGCAGCGACTGTCAAAGTCCATGTGCTGCTCAATGCCATCCTGCTGGCTCAGGGAACGCAGGATATAGGCCCGGCTCTCTGCAACAGCAACAAAAACTCTTCAGGCCCCATAAAGACAACCCGCACCCCACCCTCAGACAGATCCACAGGCAAGGAACAGCTTTGCTGCTCCCTGTCACCTGAACCATGTTCTGTCCTTCCATCTAGAGTGGCAACATTTTGCTCCACAATGTATTTTTTCTACCCCAAAAGCTGCAAGATTCACCCAAAGCAGCCACCCAAATAACTGACTACAGATCAGGGTCCCAGGGAAGAAAAGAAGTTTTAACCTCAATCAGTCCCTCATCTGCCCCACTTCAGAGCTGCATGAACTCAGACACTAGGACGGGGAAACCAGATCTCTTGTGGGATACATCACAACCAGCAACCTTCCAGGTGCACCCAAGCCTCATCAGGCACTTCTAAGTCATGGCAGCTCCTCTTAAATGAGAACTGGGTGAGGATCAGCGTCTATCCTCCAGGCTTCTGCCAAGCCCCTTGGCACCAGTCTTCATTGCAAGGGTATGCGGAAGCAGACTGTCTGTTCCTCTAAGTGTATCTAGTCAAGGACCTTTTCACTGCAAAAAGTGAAAGTAAGAACGAAGCCATAAATGATAACATAAAGAATCACAAACGTGACTGACAAATGCTAATGGAGGTAGTGAGGAGAAAGAAATCTGGTCAGTCACAATAATTAGTAAGGACATCTGGAGTTTAAGAATGATTATTTTTCAGTAAGATTATCTGAGTAATTGGAATTGGCAAGGAACACAAAAGAGGGTGCACAGAAAGGAATATAAAAGGCACCAGTCATGTTTAAAGCATGGCTAGCCAGTACACTTGTTTGACAGCCCTGTACCTCATTGACACAGTTTGTCCTACTTTGTTATGTCCTCTTATTAAATCTTTTCTAACTCTCTCTGCCCCATGTGTGTGTGTACTGCAAGCACTGTGTGCCAGCTACTGGTGAGACCTGTGTGAATCGCATTTGGTACTAGGACCTGGAGCCTAACTGGGGGCATAGGAGCCCTGTGGAGTCAGCAAGTGGAAAGACTGACAGTTGGAAATGCCATTGCCCTCTGGTTCTGGGGAAGGTCTCATGGATTTGAGCCTGGAGCCAGCTACTGGGAAGACTGGTGTACAGTGGACTCAGTACAAGCTACTCAAGTCTGATCAGGGTGTAGGTGTCCCTGGTCTGAGGTGCCAGCTACTGGGACAAGTGCAAGGGTCTCAGTGTTAGTGACTGGAGCAGGGAGGGTCCTTGGCCATCAGCCACTGGGGACCGAACAGTGTGTGTCCCAAAATACAGCTACTGGAAGGGAGGCAAGTGAGGAGGTCAGCATCAGCAGCTGAAGCAGGACTGCAGTGCCTGGTGCCAGCGGGAAAGGGCAAGTGTCTCTATCTTCCCCAATCCTGCTGGGCACGGAGTGTGCATTTAATTTGTTAGCAAAACTTCATGCTGGATTAGCTGGAAAGTAGGAGGTCCTGGGTCCAGACCAAAATATGAGGCAGGTGGTGGTCTGTGCTGGAAGTCCCAAGGGACTTGTGAATGTGGACTGTGGGAGGAACAAGTGTCTGAGTGCTATATGTTTGTCAGCAAGCATCGAGCTTGACAAATGGATGAACAGGGGAACTCCTGAGGCTGGTAGGCAGGCTTGGATCCAGGCACAGGTGCAGGATAGACAGAGGGGCTGTGCTGGAACCCAAGGGATCCACGAATGTGTGTGTAACTGTGAACCTGGAAAGTGCAGTGTGTGCTGGCAGGAGCGACCTTCTGTCTCGGCTGGACGAAGAGCAGGAGGGGACACGGCTGTCTGTGCTTGTGTTTATGTGAGTCTCTTAGGAGACGTGCTGTTGAAGACAGCACCACTGTCTGTGCCCAGCCTTGTCAGTGTCCTGCATGTGTCTGTGCTCTGGGATGGGCTTTGCTACTGGTTGAACCTGCAAATGGGAAAGTGGCAGCTGCACCACTCAGGCTGAGGAACCCCAGACTCCTCAGGCTGGCTCCAGTGGCAGAGCAGGAGAGGTGGTGGAACTGCTGGAGGAGACAGCCACCCCTAATATTCTTTAACACTCCTAACAGTTAATTAGCATCCCAGCTCAGAAACCCCCTGGCAGGGGTTTTTAACTCTTACAGCAATCCAGACAACTACAACTGAGGAAGTTTGGAAGATCCAGACTGATTCTTCCCCTTTTGCCAACAAGCCCCAAGGCATGCTGTTTCCCAGGCATCTCACCCCTACAAAAGGACTGTCATCCCTCAGCTGCCCAGCAGCACCTCCACAGTGGCACTGAGCAGCAGCAGCCCCCACCTGCATCCTGCGAAGCCAGGGTCCGCAGCATCTTGCCGGCACTGTGGCGGATCTGCTTCTCCCTGTGGCACAGCATCTTCATCAGCACGTCCAGGGCTCCCGTCTCCCTGAAGGCACCCGCCAGAGAGCCAATGCCGGCGTAGGCGCTCAGCACGTGCACAGTGTTCAGGATGGAGCACTTGGGTGTCCCGGCCTCGGCCACCTGCCGCATGGCTCGCTGCACCAGACTCCTGACATCAGCCTTCATCTCCAGCAGCGAGGCTTCGTCCAGCGGGACATCTGCAGCCAACGGACTTGGTGCCTTCTCCTCTTTCACCCACGGCCCTTCAAGCTTCCTCTTGCCCAGCAGTGCTGGGCAGCTGGCACAGACCTCTTCTGCAGACATCCACATCGAGATGTTCTCTGGCTTGGTCTCTGCACAGGAGGCACTGCTGCCTCCCACTGCTCTCTCTTCCGAGCTAATCACACTCCACTGGATCAGGTATTCAGGCCGGCTGTCGTGGCCTCGACGCTGCCGGAGCAGCTTCTCCGGGTAGGCCTGCAGTTTGGGTCCCAGCTGCACAAGCAGGTTGCCATCGTGCTTCTCATTCACCATGGCAGCAGAT